ATTTGTATACAATGTATTTACTAATAAATTTTGTTGAAAATGTATAATAATAATTGATTGATATTATATAATTATATTAATAATATTAAAAAAAAAAAAAATTATATTAGACGAGCTGTGAAGTTTGAGTTCGCCCTAGTACTGTTAAATTAAACGAGTCCTGTTCGAATAAGGCTCCGCTCGAGATCAGCTCGGCTCGAGCTCGAGCTCATTTAAAACTCGAATAAGGCTCGACTCATTTAAAGCTTTTAAGGTGCTCGACTCGATAAGGCTCGTTAAAGCTCAAAAATAGAATTTTTATATAATTTTTGTTAGTTCGGTTTGTTAAAGTTTGAGATCAACTCGTTAAGGCTCAATCTCGAACTCGAATTCTGGCTTTACTTAACGAGTCGAGCTCAGGTTAGCTCGGCTCGTTTACCAAACAAAAATTATTCCGCGAATTAAGAAAAGAAAAATCGTTTTTCAATGGCACACAGATTTAAAGACACAAAGGCATTATTTTGATCCGGAAAGAAATTAATATTATATGATGTATAATAATACTTATATTTAAAACAGAATTTATGGGTGGTGTAAAAGAACACTCTCGGAACTTGTAGGGCTATGTGGGGCCCTAATCTATTTTGAACTATGGATAAAAACAACATATAAAAGCTGTACAAAAGCTAGCCTGATTTCATATTGGAATTTGGAACCTGTAAAACCCAGTCTGACCTCTCGCTAGATATACACGTATTTAAATATATACATGTATAATGTGAAAAATGAATACTAATATTTATATCATTTACAATTATCTAAGGTTTGTAACTCGATTATGATTTTGAAGATAAAATGAGAATGAAAAGATTAGTTTATAACGACATAAAGAAAACTATGTTATAGGTATTTTGGTCAGGTAACATGTATTGCGCTTTTATTAATGAAAACTTGGGTTTGGGTGGCTTGTTTACTCGAGCCGTTTACTCAAACAAGCCGACTTCAAACATTTAATTAAACTCGTTTATTAAATGAATCAGTCAAATTTAATGTTCACAAATATTTCATTTTTTAAGTAGTTATTTATATATTTTATATTTAATGTGTTTTCAATAAAATAGTTAAGTCGAATACTCCGCAAATAATTGATCATTTAAATCGGGATCTAAAAAACTTTTACTGGGAGCACCATATATATATTGTAATTATACCAATTACAAGTAAAATAATCCCTTTTATATATAATTTCAGAATGCGTTGAGCCTACGTGACAAACTCTCATGCTTCGAAATCTTATTTGGCAAAAAATCATGCTTTGGAGATAGGTTTGAATATAAATTAATATTTATATTAATTATATTTTAATATCATTTTCTATTATAACCAATGAATTGCAAATATATTTTAAAAATAAATTATTTATTAAAAAATTAGATATATTAATTGTAAAGGCTCACCCCAATACAGTTTTGATAAATTTATCATTTTGATAAATAATATATCAAATTAAATTAAAAAATACAATTAATAGGAAATAATAGGAAAGTATTTCCTATTAATTGTATTTTTTAATTTAATATATTATATATCAAAATGATATATTTATCAAAATTAATTGTAAAATTATTTATTAAAATTAATTAAAAATATAATTATTTATTAAAATTAATTAAAAATAAAATTCTTTATTAAAATTAATTAGAAATAGAATTATTTATCAATTAATATATTTATGTTTAATATAGTTATATGTTATAATGTAGAAAATTGATTATAATATAACACATATAAGTCGCACAAGTAACATGTGTCATACTAAAATATATAATATATACTCCCTCCTATTTTTATTATTTGTCACTTTGTCTTAATTGATCATTGATAAAATAAATGTTTTAGATATTTTGCTCATATTTTTTCATTTTTAACCCTCCATTTATTACACAGTGTCTCTTCATATCCAATCTCCATGGTTTCCCATAACATCTATTAAATAGGATTAAAATATTGTCAAGAAAAAAAAATCCTAATTAGTGTGTTGCATTTGAATTGATATTATGAAGTCCGTTTTTATATATATATATATATAATACAAAATAGTAATATATATCCTTATAAATAAAATTTAAATTTATTTATCAAACTAAATTAAATTATATCAAATAAAACTATAAATTATATTATAAAGTAATAGAAATTGGTATGTATTAATTTAGAATTGATATTTATTTCAAATCTAATTGGTATGTTGTCAATGTAATAAAAATAATTAATTATTTATATAAATTCTATAATTACATATAAAGTTAAAAAACTGTGAAACACGACTGAAACGACACTTGATGTATTAGACATCTAATTAATTAAAAAAATTAATCTATTTTGCTTAATATTAAATAAACATATTCTACACTTACGCATATACATATCACCATATTATTTCTATTTATTTAAGATATATATTGTACTTATGTAATAGTAAATAATATCGATATTTTATATGATATAAGTAAAAAGATTCAACACGGGTTGACATTTTTATTTAATGTACGAGTGTTTAATTATTATGATTAAAAAAATATAATTAGACAATTTAATTAAAACTCAAAGTAATGTTTTATATAAAATTAAGTTATTTTAGTTTTTAAAAAAATAAAAAAATTAATATTTCATACAAAAGTTTTTTAATTCAACGCCCGTGTAATACACGGGTATTGTACTAGTATAATGATATTAGAAAAAAAAAATCATATTTCTAATGTTTTCTATGAATTTTCACACTTTGAAAGTAATCCATAATTATGTTCAAAGTAGAATAGCACAAAAGGATAACACATAAAATGTGGAAATATAAAGAATAAAATTAAAAGGTTATAAGTAATCTCACGTAGGACAACTGGCTTCTACTGCAATGTTAAGTATAAATTTGGAAAGTTAATCTTAATAGAGTGATGGATTAGACTATAATAGATATTTTGGTTAGGGTGAATTTCACACTATTGGTGTAGAATGTAGATATAGTTTTGATTCATGAACACTTATATATTCCACATGGATGTGTGTATGTGCATATGATCCAACAACTCAAAATCCGATATGAACAATGCTCACGTCGATAGTATGTTGCCATTTTATTATTTTTGTCATTATTATTATTATTACTATTATTATTATTATTATTATTATTATTATTATTATTATTATTATTATTATTATTTTCTTTTTGTCCTTTACTTTTGGCATGAAGCCAAAACTAATTAAGATGAATATAACTTTAATTTCTTTACTTAAATTATTTATACTGCCAACTTAGCGAAGGCCTATGATTACAGTTGTGAACGAGTCGAGTTCGAGCCTTTAACGAGTCAAAATGAAAATAGGCTACTTTGCATTGTAGAAATGGTTTGCTCGATCGGCTAAAAAACGTACACTCAAGTCTTTGCATTATAGAAATTGTTTGAATGGAAAAGCACCAGTTAATGTTTTTAGTGATTAATTTTATACTTTAATTTTGATAAGAAGGAAATAGAAAAAAAGAAAAAAAAATAATTGTCATTGATTTAACCCTTTCATAATGCATCCACAAAATTTGAACCATTTCAACGTTAAATAACCACAAATGAACTTTTCCACAAGAGGGACATCAACTTTATGTAGAATTTAATCATTCATTGGCTGCTTAATATATTCAATTATAGTCCAGACAGCAAAAGGGCAGATTCAGGAGTACTTAATGGAGATGTTTTTAATGCTCTAAAGTTTTGGACTGTGAGGGTGAAACAGAGGGTTTCTCGTGAACATAATATACATATATTGATCAACATCTCACGATGCAAAATTGATTTGATATTTTGGTCCTTTGTGACTTTGATTCCCCCATTTGATGTCTAGACAAATAATAACCCATAAGTTCTGAACCAAAATCTCATTCCTTGATTGTCCATGCTTGGCAACATATAAAGAGATAGTACCATTATAAAATCCTACCACCAATTGGATATAAGTTGTATTTATTTATTTATTTTTTTTTTGTTCTCAATTTTTGGATCTACATTTTACCGAAAAAATAAAATAAAAAATTGGGACGATATTCAACCTGTGTAAACGACCTCGATCCGGTTGAACAACCTTTTATCCTTAATGAGTCGGTGAAATGACCTGCAAAACGGCGAAGTGGGTTGTTCCGACGTAGAAGCTCCGACACTCAAGTCAGTATTTAATGAAGAAGGTGATGTATACAAAGTATGTAAGTATAAAATGCTTAGAGTGTGTAAAGTTGTGACTATCATACCTCAACCCTTTATATAGAGGTGTTACCATGTTGCCCGAGCTACTCGATCGTACTGCCCGAGTATCCAAGCTGCCCAATTCTGTTAGCCCACTTAGTCCCATTCACGTGTCTTTATCTTGATTATATTTGTTTTGATCTATTATGTGGTGTGTTCACATAAGTCTACCTCATTAGGTAGTCTAATTGTGCTATTAGCTCGACTTCCTTTTATCTAAGTCGTTCCGACCTTCATCAAGTAAGTTTACCTCTTAGGTCATACATCGACCTATAAGACTTCAGATCGAGTTCCCATCAGGCTGGCTGAGAGACCTAATTCGACTTGTTGTCGTGTTGCTTTGCCTATGAGGTCACCATGACCTGGTGATCTCTGACGACAAACCGACCTAGTTCACTCGATATGGTCGAGTTGTTTTTAGGTCGTACACGATATATGATATGCCATGCTCAAACCGACCTAGTTCACTCGATATGGTCGAGCTGTTTTTAGGTCGTACACGATATATGATATGCCATGCTCTAAAGCATATAGTGAAGTACATGAATGAACAATAAAAAGTTTTGTCGGGGTGCATCTTGATACATCAATCGAAAGGTTCGCCTCGTTGATCAAAATCGATGCCGAATTTAAAATTACAAGACAATAAGTTTAATCCTCCGATTCCAAAGAGGGTCGAAAAAAATTAAGCTAACACGCAACTCGTTATAATTGTATCTCTCTTGCTCCGAACCCTTAGTCAAAATGCAAAATTTCCCAGAGACTCCTTGTGGTGGGCTGCAAAAACACGACAGAATCTTCGGGTAATCTCGTAATCACCAGTGTAAGGACGAGCAAGACCTTCGTCAAATTTCACCAAAATCCATAGCAAGTTTACATATAATGTTTCAAGGTTGATGTCTTGCAGCTCAAAATTTGGTCAACCTTAAGTTGGTTTAGGAGTTGTCCAATTTTGTGGTATTGGGCCAATGTCATAAATGACCTCTCTATGGCACGACCACACGAGCTTTATTGCCTCCGGCGTCCCTATCCCGGCGCCTCTTGGATCACCGGCCGGCCCAAACCTATATAACATATTTGTTTCGATCATAAATACAACATTTAGCCCAAAAAAATTAAAATAAAATAATATAAAATCATTCGATGATTCTTTTGTACTTACCAATGATTTTGTGGAGCTCCAGTAGTTCTTGCTCTCAGTCCAACATAAGTGGTTCCATTGACAGAATTCCCCACAACCTCCTAAAACATCGTGAATTTGACAACACCGTGTAACAAAGAACAAAAAGAAAATGATAATAATAATAATTAAATCGAGGTTTTTATCTTACCTGCACGAACAAAGGATCGTTGGACACAACTGCAGCTGTTAAGTGTGCGTGCATTCTTTCAAGGGCGTTCAGAACAAGTGGAAGCTCATCGTGTTTGTATTCCGTGACAATCTGAATTAAACGACATATTTATATAAAAAGTAAAAACGAATTTTAGCGAATGATGGATAGATAATAATATTATAATATTTTGCAGGATTTCCGATTTTGGGAAGACCATGTGTATGTATGTACCTGGAACGGGCCAAAGATTTCTTTTGTTACGAGATCAAAATTGTCCTCTTTCAGAATTTCTTGGAGCGGAATAAAGATGGCAGTAGGTTCGATTGCGCCATACACTTTAGGAATAGAATGGTTTTGTAAAGCTTTACCACCAAACAAAACTCTCGATCCTTTTATATTGAGCAATTTTTCCACGTGACCAAGAATTGCTTCAGTTGTAAACTGCATGGACAAAAAACATAAGAAACTTTGTCCGAATGGAAATGGTAACAAATCTCTTATCGGTTTAAAAAAAAAAAAGAAAAAAAGAAATGCATTTGGAACTCACGGTAAGAACAGGGCCAATAGTGAGATCATTCAGCTTTCTTGTAGCAGCAAGATCCGAAAGCTTATGTATGAGAGAACTTTTACCCCAATTCTACACAAGCATAAATTAATTCATTGATGTGAGAAATAAGATACCAATCACTTGAAAGAATACTATTTAGAACGAAATACGCATTTTGAGTTAAATAGAAAGATAAAAAACAGGAGCATGGAGCTTAAATTAATTACCTCGTGCATGAAGAGCAAGGATTGGGCCGAGCACTTTTGGCCACTACATGCATAAGCATCTTGGTCACAAACCCAAGCAACATATTCCTCCTGTTATTTAAGGAAAATGAACAAATGAGCAATATTATAACTGGGGTTATTTTATTTTATTATTCGTTATAATATGTTTATAAATTACTTCATGGACATCTGGTCCAAGAATCTTCCAGTCAAATCCAGCATCTTCGAGTTTGATACGACCTTTTAGATCGACAGCTAATTTCTCTGCAACTCTTGAACTACCGGTGAATAGAGTCATGCGTGGTTTTGCCTGATGACACAATGTAATCATGAAAAAAATCATAAGATAGTGTGAAATTTACAAAATGTATTTTTGTGAAATGGCTAATACTGGAAAGGACATGAAGAACTAACTAACTAACCTCCAAGAGAAGTTTATTCATTGCTTTCCCATCAGAGTTTATGAAATCAACATCTTCCAAAGGCAGCCCACACTCGTGGAGCAACCGAAGCATTTGTTCCATAACTACACATACCTTTAAAAGTGAAATAACAAAAAAATTGTATTAACACTTGAAAGTTAGTGTGCTGTATAATAAGATCACTTTTTTTTCTTTACCTTGCTGTCAACTTTAAGCAGTGGCTTATTTCCCATATATAGAGCACCCATGAGCTGAAGCACTGGAATCTCTAACGGAAAATTGAAAGGAGTAATAATTGTGACCTAAAATGGTTTTTCACAGAATAAAATTCTATCAGAACAAGAAAAAAATTAACGGAACAACTGGTAGAACTTGAACATAGTATAATATAGCATAAATTTTGACAATGATAGAACTCAATAAAACAGGTCTCATAAAGAGTTTCGATGTAAACCATATTTTCTTGAGTGTTGACTGTTGACTTACCGGACCATAAGGCCACCTAAAGCCATGGCTCTGCTGACCCAAATGATTACCTGGAACACCAAATGATCTAGCCAGAAAACGAACCTGCCAAAGTGAATTCATATCTCATTCTGAAAATATATGAAAACGAAAACCAATCTGAAGTATAACATAATGTACTATCCTAAGATGAAAAAATATTTTATCTAGTCATGTTCTAAACACTACTTTTACAGTTTGATTATAAATGCATCCAGAACAGTGATAGAACCGAAACTAATTTCCAGTCATAAAGCATGCGTATTAAAATATGTAAGAATTTTGCATAGAATTACTTACAATTACAATTATAGTAAAACCAAAAGAAAAGATAAAAAAAAAAATAATAATAAAAAAAAATTGATACCTGATCCCCACAGAAATTTTCCAGAAACTTCCGTGTGACATAAACTTCAGCGAACGCTTGTTGGTAACTCTTCGGAGACACCCTTTGTATCAACTTGGCAAAGAAGTCAGAAACCTAGAAGCACAAGCCCTTTTTTACAAAAAAAACAATAATAATAATATAAAATATTATTTGTGAAAATACCAAGATCTTTATCAATATAAGACATCACCTCAGGCAGTGATAGTTTATGAGCTGCTTTTGTGGTTACGTCTCCAAGCATCAGGTACCTAAAACATGGGTTTTTGTAATGTTGTTACAATAAAAAAGCCGAAAGTCTCTTAAAAGGTACGGAAACTGCAGAATAAAACTAAACAAGCTAATGATAACCTCTCAGGTGCTTTAAATGGATTGTGAAGACCATGTTTGGGACACTGGGACAAGCTCTCCAAAAACGGCTGCATAATTTATGATGAGTTGGGGGGGATTTCACTATTTAATTTTTGAGTAAATATTAGAATTATGTGTCAAAAAAGCTGCAATCAGGAGATTCAGGACACATACCTTTATTTCCTTCTCCTCAACTTCAGAAACCTTAATAAACAGCTCGCCATTTAAAGGATCGGGAATGTTGTTCCAACGAAGAGATTTTGTCCAATTACCCTGCACTAATAAAGAGAAAAGAAGAATATTCATTCTCTTTCCCATATAGAAAACGGGAAGAAGAAATATAAAACGAAAAAGAACTCTTGAAAGAAGAGCAGTAATTGTTTATGAGTGCTAACGACACAAGGATGATGCTCTTGTACCATGAAAACACATGAATTTTTTCACTTTTTTGGGATTAAAAAGGGAAACTAT